TACAGTTGCATGTACTGGACAGACTGGGGAGATATTTGAAAGGCTGGAATTGATTGGCTCAGACCGGAGGGTACTATTCAATGATTCACTGGGCTGGCCAAATGCTCTGACCATCTCATATGAAGCAAATGAACAGTTTTGGGTGGATTTATAAGGCATGAACAGGAAGCAGAGGTGCCAACTGTTGCATTATATATGTAATAGTGATTCTATAAAGGTTTGTGGGAGTCGTTGATTTATGGCTGGATATTGTCCTGATTGTACGCCATGTTTGAGGAGTTATGACCAAACTATTTCTGATCTGCTGTGGTTAGGTACTAAGCTAGTATTTAGATGTCACAGGTTCGGTCCCAGCTGCTGTCACTAAAAGTAATTATAAAAGGTTAAGTTATGTCAGCATGACAACAAACCATCTGAAGACAGGAATAACGTCAACTCCCAAAGCATTGTGTACATCGTGCGTAAACTGTGGACAGTGTTGGTATAACAGACTGTGATTTCTCTTGGAAAGGGAAGTGGATATAAATGCTTGTGTTTTGTGTTGAATTCTGACACCTCTATTCTGCTTTAATTTTCCATTTATTCGGTTGCCTTAATGAAGTCTGTCAGTCGTGGTCTCTTAAAATCTGCATTTATATTTGCACTTCTTTTTTCACAAAGTACTGTAAAACTGTTTTCATTAATAAATATAAAATAAATCTGATTTATATCACATTTAATAAAACAACTCACAAACCCTGAATTAATTTCTCTGAGGTTTGTATACAGTAATGATGTAACTTTAAGGGTAGTTCTATTTTTAGGTTAATACAGCATTTTGTTTTAAGTGAGGGAGAAGTAGGGCTTGCTTATGGCAGAACACTTTGAATATAACATTAATTTTATGGCTTTTGAAGCACAGTTTTGCAACCATCCATCTATTTGCAATATTGATAATTGCATGTTAGAGTCGTAAGACATTTTCATAATCTGTGTTTTGATTTCTAGGTGTGCTACCGACATAATGGCAACAATGAAATTGATGAACCTATGTTCCCTCAGCCCTCGATGTACCGAAAGGTAAAGCACACGTCACCTGTTCTGGACAAATATTCTGAAAGACTGATCCAATAAGGAGTTGTTACACCAGAAGAGGTCAAGGTGAGTACAATGAAATATGGTAAAAACAATAACCAATAGAGCAGATTGTATTTTTCTTTCCCATGTTGAACTTCCCTGCAGAATTTTGTGCCACAGACAGTATTGAGGCGAGATGTAGCATCCATCTTAAGCCCTGAAAATGGAGACTGTTTTCTTCTCTGGAATTTTGGTATGTAATCACAAGACTGCATGGCACACCACCATTTAAACTTATCACCATAACCTCAAATTCTACAGTAATGAGATACAATCGCAGTAATATTCATCTTGAAATTAGAGCAGATTAAATTTCTAATAAGACACATTTGGATTGTGGTGGAGGCAGTAACCACCTCTGAAATGTCAGTTTCAATAAGATTACATGGTACACGATGACAGAAAACTGTCTTCTTGATACCTGTTGCTGTGAGATCATGAAATCTTGGTGAATGTACAAATGTGTGATGAATTTCTTAGTGGTAATGAAGACTTATTCATTCATGTCCATTAATATATTAGGAATACATATATAAGGTAATGGAGAGCTAAAATTATATTTTGTGTACATCCCAACATATTCTAAATGAATGTGAAGGACAAGTATGAGAAGTCAGTGCTCACAAAGAGACTCGCATCAAGTACAAAGATTGGCTTGACTCTCGATGGTTAGGCTTTTTTGAGGTTAAGGAGGACACTCTTGTGCACACCGCCTAGAGAATATCTTCTAAACCACCGAATGCTGCAGAATTTATTATTCATAAGGGTTATTACTTTTTATATCAGTGGTTTACAATTTTTGTTGACAATGCTTACTTGTGTACATAGGTTTTTAAAATATATGTTGAAATTTGGAGTCCCTTATCAACATTAATGCATGCTCTCATATAAATTTGATGTTTTGGTGCTATTCAGATTTTGATATAAGGTTGATTATTGGTGATTTAAGTTGGAAAATTTTTCGTTTGTATACCTTAAAGCCGAAATTAATTCTAGCAAATTTTATCAAAAATAATAATACCCTAATAAATTTCCTATCCCTTCATTTATTGAACCCACATTATAGTTTATTCAAACAAACAAAATATATCCATCAGTTCAGTAGAAAAGTGTTTAGTAGGCCAGGTTTGTATTTTACTTTCTAAATTCCGTGAATGAAACTGTGTTTTGAGTCTGCCATCAGACCAAAAACACTGTGTTGAATGGATTGGCTCTTTCAGTCTTCCTTCCTGTTTATTTAATGTTGATATTTAAGGTTTTCTTTCATTTAATATTTAACTGTACTTCCAGTTCAGTTATCTGGTTTTAGAATTCCCTCCATTTAGTATGTTTATACCTTTTTTGTGTTTAGGATCGAAATATGCAAGAGTCTTTCTGCCTGTTGTTTTTTGGGGTGTGAAACTTGGTCTCTCATAAAAGAGAAGAGAGTTTGAGAGTACAGGTCTTGGAATATGTTTGAGATTTTAGAAGAGATCCGGTAACAGAATACTGGGAACAATTACATAATAAGAAGCTTCTTAATTTATTTTTAATTAAAACTTTTAGTGCAGTTGAATTAAGAAGGATGTGATAGGCGATCATGGAACATATATGCGGCATATGAGAAATACAAAGTTCTGATCCAGAAATGTAAAGGAAGGAGACAGTTTGGGAAACCTATTAAGAAACTACTGACATACATATATTACAGTCTTAATAATCCTCCCGTCTGTGATCCCATTGATGAAAAATACAGCCTAGCTAATTTGTCATTTTCGTATAAATTTCTTGCGTAACCAGAATCAGTCTTTATTTTATGACTTATTAATTTATACCTTGGGCTTGGGATCTTGTACTCAGCTTAATCAAACAATATAGAGATATACCAATCCAAAGGCAGGACCAAAGAGGGCAAATGGTTGACTCTTCGTACTGTCCACCAATTGGCTTTGGCTTTGCAGAGATGTAGCTGGGTCATATAACTGTCTTGATAATAAAGAGAGGGATGGTCCTTGAATTGTCGGCTTCTTTAACCATCTGACACGGCTTGTAGCCCAAGAGGATTGTATTATTGACTGTCGCCATGAAAATTTCACATTATAAACGTAATTGTTGTGCCAAACATTAAACATTTTTGAAATTACATTAGCAAAGGAAATTTTGTTCAACTAGAAACTAGTTTCATGAAAAAATTGTGGTTAAACATTTTTATAGGGCTTGCGAAAAGTCAGTTTTTAAAAGACTAATTTTCCTACATATATTTTGTTTAAATCTTGTGTCCTTCTAATCACAATAAATTCCCTATTAAATATTAAAATATTACAATAATTAACTTTTAAATATTTAAAATACTAAATGATGTTCTCTATCGAAATATTAGATTTACATTAGACCATCATTTCTTCCACAACGTGTTTCAGGTGTATAAAATTATATAAACTTAAATATAATTTCTTAAATGCAACTTTTTATATATTATATTATTTTAGTCAGATGTTTATCAGATATCAAATGATGTTCTCTTCCAGATTTTAATAACATATTCGAAGTTGTTCTGTATATGTACGTCGTGCTTAATATGATTTTTTGTGTGGGTGAACGTTTTTGTTGTTGTTTTTGTATCAGCCTGTAATGTAAATAATATAAAGACTAAATAAAATAAATAAAATAAGTAAAATAAATAAAATAAAATAAAATATATTTCATTTTGAATACAATCGTTAGAGTGGTAACAACGTTAAATAAATCCTGTTTAACGAAGTTATTATGATGGAGATGTTATCTACGTCGTTCACGCTCATTATGAAAACTAAAATATAATTTTATATCCAGCCGTTTCTGAATCACACATGAATTTATACTCTACACTCAGCACGCCACTGCTGGTATGCTAATGGTAAGAACATCCCGAGATGTGTTCAACTGTGACACAGCATCTGCAATGAAAATCTATAAAAATTACAGGAATATAGAAAAAGACAATACGAACAGCTTCTCTTATGGACTGATGGGACTTTCTCAGAATGGTATCCTGTTCTGTCAAATCATTTTCACGTATAGTTAATAATTCGTCAAATGATTCTATGGTTAAACGCAGATAGCTGAAGAACTTATCAGGATATTTTCTTAAATCATTGCTGACCTCATCACTGAACGCCTTACGCTGCACAGTGGATCCATCTGTCGTGGAACTCTCCCTACATGGCTCTCGGCAATCAGAGGTAAATTAGGTTGGTCAGACTGTAATATATCTTTCATCGTCATGAATGTTTAATGAAAGCTACGCGTTGGAATATTTTGTCCAGAGGGATTTGAATTGATTTGTTTTATCATCACAGTGAGATTGATAGAATTGGAGGGAGATAAGACAGCGATAATGGACTGTGAGAACGTAACTATTGACATACATTCCTTGTCTCTTGTTAGTTACTGGATTTTGTAATCCTCTCTTCACAGCTGTGCTTTCAGACAGTGGCTACGCTGTAAGGAATTCTGACAACACTGTACGTAACACGTGTGTAACAAGCCTGCTCTGCGCGAGTTTCGTAATCAGTAGGTAGTCGTTTCACTGTCTCTAACCTAAATCAGAAAAATCTGTAGCTCACGATTACTCTATTTTCTAAGGTTCGTCTTAGTATCTGTGACTAGGTCTTCCAAGTTATGACAGTTTCCCCACCGCATATGATTTTATATGGCTTTTAGGTATGCAATGGATGGACATGCTTACACCAAAGTTGATTTGTTCTTCATGTCTTCATGCATGTAATTTTGATTAGTTACTGCCGTTCTCAAATATGAATGTGTCACATTTTTAAGAATGCGTTTATAACATTCAGGTTTTTGTTTTTAATATCTGCTTTAATATATTGGTATGAATCATACTGTGAGACTTTGCATTAGAGGGTTTGCTAAGCTGGCTTAAATTGTATTCCTGGAGACTTTGTTGATAATAATAATTTTTTAAACCTTGTTTAAAAATGTAAGTAGTCACATATTCCATCATCAAACTTCTTGGCAGGTGAATTGGTCCAATATAAGCTCTGCTTTATAAGAATCACAAAGGAACGTTTGTAATTGCCCTAAAAAGTGACTTATGTAAACATTTTATGTACATATGAAACATATGAGTATCTACAACTAATATTTAACACACGTTTGGGGAAGTCGTCTATTTATTGAAGCACAAGGAAATATCTTCTATGGTTTTGT